GGGCAACGCCTCCGCCCCTCCTTCCTTGCCTGTCCCTTCTGAACAGCCTGTAGCCATCAATAGCTACATTCCAGTCGTGGGATTCATCCCACCAAGTTTCCATAATGCCAATCAGGTCGTAGCTTTCTAGCAGCACGATAGCTTCCATACTCCTCTTGTCTGTTTCCCATGCTGCGTGCGTTTGTATAGAGGCATTTCATCTGAGCTGTCGGCCTCGTCACCTTCATAGCAGAACACCCCTCATTTCCCTTGAGGTGTTTCACAGGCTTTTCCTTGTTGGCTCCTACTACCTCAGGAGCCTCCGGCTCACCTCCGCCAGACTTCAACTTTGCTGCAGCATCCCTGGCATGCTGCTGGGCAACGGGTTGAGGGCTCATACTAGCCCCCCATCCTTCTAACCATTACATATCATCCCCTAGCCTGTCGCTGGCAAGCCTGATAGGTTCCCCTTCCCCCTTCACATCTAGTTTAAATCCCTGTCAATGAGTCCCGCAAGCTCCTGGGCAAAGACCCTCTTCCCCCTTTGAGAGCGCTGGCTCCCATTTGACGCCAGCAAGCCCGTTGCTGTGTAGGCCATCCCATGGTCAAAGAATCCAAAGTTGTGGCAGCAACACCAGTCGTGGAGCCACGTGTTAATAGATTGAGTTCGCCTGTATTGCCCAGTGTCTCTGCTCTTGCCGACACAGCTGGCTAGATGTCCCTTCTCCAGTGCAGGGACACATGCTGGCTCACATCCAGCTTGCCATCCACCAGGAACCCCATATCCTTTTCTGCAGAGCTGCTCCTCAAGGTGGTCAGTCCCAATCTATACCCATGCATCTTTTGTGCCATGGCCAGGACTTGGCATTTGTCTTGACCTTCATGAAGTTCCTGTGTGTGGCCTTCTTCCCCTGTCCCCAAATTTCTGTCATTTGGAAACTCCTGAGGAGGTTCTCTATGACATCCTCCCAGTCACTGATGAATCTATGGAACAGCATTAGTCCCAGTATCAGCCCATGAAGAATGCCTCTTATAGCCAGCTACCAGCTAGACTCAGACTCTTGACCACTACCTGTTAAAGCCTTGATGGTCCAAACCATTCTGATGTTTTCCTATCCAGATTAGATCTTCCCAGTTTGGCTGCAAGGCTACTATGTCAAGAATTGCTGAAGTCATTAAATGGCATCTACCACGCTGCCCTCACCCACTCCCAGCCAGTCATCCGATCATGGAAAGGTGTCAGGCTGGTCAGGCATGATGTGTTTTCTGTAAATCTGTGCTGTTACACATCCTCTCCTGCTCTTCATGCGCCTGGACATGGCTTCCAGGAGGATTTGCTCCATATTCTTTGAGGCTGAGGTAAGGCTGATTCCTCAAATCTTTCTTCTTGGCCGTCTTGAAGTCAGGCACATATGCTTTTTTTCTGTCACTGGGAACCTACACCAGTTTATCAAAGATGGCAAATACCGGTCTTGCAGTGGCATCAGCTATTTCCCTCAGCACCTTCTGCTGCACCCATAGTTTGGGGTGGGTTCAGTTTGCTGAAGTACTCTGTGACTTGATTGTCCGCCACTGTGGGTAGCACCTCCCTTTCCCAAACTGTGCAGCTACTTTGTTTCTGTAAAAAAAGACCCATTTCAGAGCAGGGAGGAGGTTTAAAAACAAACAAAAAAATTCCATATTTTTACAAGTGAAATATTTTCCTGAATGATCAAGAAAATATTTTGTGTTGTTTCTGTAAACAGCCATGTGGCAACCATCAGCAGCTGAGATGATGCCTGTCTACGCTTCCCTGACAATCTATGACTAGCAACAATAACGCCCAGATGTTGCTTTGGGTTGTTCCTCAGAAGTAATCTAAAATAAGCTAAGTGCTAGAAGTGCTTAAATCTCTTAAATCCTCATGAAAGTCTTCACATGCAGCTCAGACATCGCTGTGTACAGGGCAGACATATAGAGTTCCCAAGTGCATTCTCTTCTACCCTTTAAAAACATTAAATTACTTTTTTTTTTTCTTGAGCCATCTATACTAATTAGCATTTTTCTTGCCAATTTTCGTTACCAAATAATATAGGAAATACTGGTGTACCTCTGTTTTCATGAGAAGCAATCCAGAGTTTCTGATATGGTGCCCTTGTTGATGATTTCAGATATTGCATCACCTTCTTCTGCCCTTAGGCAACACTTCAGGATGGTGAATAGTTTCCTGTAGGACCCCCAGGAAAGAACAAGGTTCAGATTCTTCTGGAGATTGGAACCCCTCTTTGGGTTCATTACCAACTATACTCAGAAGACAAAATATCTCCCTTGGTCTTGTAGCAGACTGTGAAAAATTTAAATTAATGAAAGTTAACTTTTTTTTTAATCTCACATGAGTAGAAGCAGTAAAGTTAACAATAATTAGGTTAAAATTTAAATTTAAAATGAAGTTTAAGTAACAAAGTGCGATTCTCTGTATGAAGGTAATGGGAGGAGGAAAGCTAATTCCAAAACTAGCTTTTGAAACATGCCCTAGGCCCACATTGAACAAAGTATTTTGTGCAGGGTAAGGAAACCTGGTAGCAAGTCAAAGAGAGGTTCACCAAACCTAACTTCAGACATCTGTAATGCAGTGGTTTAACTGTTGTTGACATATATAGTGACTTTTAAAATGTTTTAGAGTATCCAAGATATCTGCTGGCAAATATGATGGAGATCCAGAGGAAACCTGTCCTTCTAGAACATGACTGGAGACCAGCTAAGATGCTCCGCAGTGTCTCAAAAGGCACTGAAAGCCTCTGTTTGTCAAGTGGTTTGAGTCCTAAATGTCTACATCTGGGCTTGTCGTAGGCACTTGCTCTATGATTAAAGGAGAGGAGCAGACACTTCTAAGGTGTAATTCATCGTAGCCTCAAAAGTCCAAACTGTGCAGGTAAGTCACAGTGTAGAAATGCCTTCTTCCATTTAGCGAGTATGCTGGGAAACTACGTGACCAACACCCATGCAGAGCTTGTACTGCAGATGTCTAAGTGTTAATGGAAATCCATTGGAGTAAATAAAGCAATATAGGCATTTCTGGACCTGGTTAATTTGGACTATCATAGATACATGCTATGGGACAGATAGCTGTGTGTTCTTGGGTTTGGAGCTCTAGTTAATTGCCTAAACCTAGCCAAAGCATGAGAAAGCTTTTCCTGCCTCATGTGTGGCAAGTGGTACCTACTCCTTCCTATTTTTGCTGATCCCCTCTCCAGTTGTTCCCTCCTCCAGATCCCAGGGATGATTCCCATTAGCCATTTCTTGCTCTGCTAACTGCTTTCACAAGCTGTATTTCGTTACTGTGATGGCCTGTTCCTACACTGCCTCTTCTCTGCTGCTTACTGCACTGCGAGGCAATTCAGTGCAGTGTGAAGCTTTGCTAACTGAAATTTCTTTTATTTTGTTAACCATGTTAAATATAAGAACGCCTGTAGCAATCAATTCCATAACCTACAGAGGATTTCTAAACATTAATAAAGTTTCAACTTATTGTGAACTGAATTTGGCTGTAGCGAGGAAAAAGAAAGCAAGCAGGCAGGCAAGAAGGTGCAATAACACCTATGCAATGACATTCATGGATTTATTTTCCTTACTTTACAGTGCTCACTACATATTCAGGTTCTTTCTCCATACCATCCCGCAAATGACAGCAAGGTTATTTACCTATTTTGGTTCTCTGCTTATTTATTTTTAAGATGTACAGCTCTATATCACTAAGCTTTATTCAGATTGACTATATTGAGCAGCCCTGCCGAGAGGGACTTGGGGGTGCTGGTGGATGAAAAGCTGGACATGAGCCGGCAATGTGCACTGGCAGCCCAGAAGGCCAACCGTACTCTGGGCTGCATCAGGAGAAGCGTGGCCAGCAGGTCGAGGGAGGTGATTCTGCCCCTCTACTCTGCTCTGGTGAGACCTCACCTGGAGTACTGTGTCCAGCTCTGGAGTCCTCAGCACAAGAAGGACATGGAAGTGTTGGAGCGGGTCCAGAGGAGGGC